CTCCGAGTGCAACTAGCCATAAGTTTGCTTTTAGACTTATTTTATTATGTCACTCAGCACTCTGTAATTTATTATGTATGTCAAAGTTGTTTGGGTAACTTCCCACTTTGTAAAAATATACGAAAATGATAAATATGAAATTTGGCACTTTATATTTTACATATAAATATGTAGAATATAAGAAAAAATCTCAATTAACTTATACAAATCATTAAAATAAAAATCCTCACTCGGTAGGGTTTCTGGATGTAATGAAAATTATAAATGAGATTAAAGAAAATGACATTAAAGTTGATAACGACTGGGATTAATTTGGATATTGTTGACTTTTAAAATTTCTTAATAGTGTTTAATGAGTTGGAGGTCATATGAAACAGATAATCCCTGGAGATTCTACGATCCCGTTACGGAATCATTGCGTCGAAATTTACAACTGTTAGATCAACTATTCACGATGATTACATTATGATCTGACGATTACGAATCCCGGTAAAATAATTTCGTAATAGTACTATAGCATTTCTCTAGCCAATGGTTGGTTAAATTCTTCAATATTGATAAAATGCAAAGAAAGTGACAATAAATGAGCAACAGTGTGAATACAAAACAATTTTAAAGCCCACTAGAAGTATAAAGGGCTAATATATATTTAAATAAAATAGTATTACACGTTTGGACAAATTACATATTGCACACAGATGTGACTCCAGCTAGCAAGCAATCTAGAGAACTAATGCTTGACCTGGTCCATTGACTTATCCGAATAATTTGACATTTATTATCGTTATTTTATGGTGATGTGAAAATGAAATTTAGATAAACTTTTGGCTTTTACTAAGTCCAATAAATAAAATCAGAGCATAATAATAATATTACATGACCAATATAAGTTGGCTCAACGCGTTGGCTCACCAAAATCTGCTTTTGTCAAGACGTGTTTGTGGGTCAACGGCCCCAACATTTTATCCCCCCCCCCCCTCTTCCCTATTTTTCCTCTCTAATAGTTGCTTTCGATAGAGATGTAAACGAATCGAGTCGAGGTTAAACTTTTGATTCTTTGTTGGGGCTCCAACCTTTATAGGTTTTGCTGGTTGACTAATTAATCAAGTAGATAAACAAGCTCGAGTTCGAAGACATCTTTTTGGGGTAATTGTGATTGGGCGAGCCTCTTATTTCACTCACTATAAAGATATGCTAATTTTTTTTTTACAAGGTCCCGTTGACAATTAAACTTTTTTAACACCAAAAAGTACGAAGATATTATGCGATGAATATGCGACTGTTATGCAGTTCATAACCTTTCGCACTTTATGAGTTGTGCACTAACATGCGATAGTTATGTGTGGATATGAGATATGAAATAATTATGCAGTTCATTTGCACAACTCTTCACACTTTATAAAGTAAAAAAGTTAATTTGTTGGTTGACGGTGTAAAAAAAATAATATATTTTCATAGTGGGGAACACCATTTTCCAAACATATGTGGCCAAAGTAGTGATGTGAGTATCTCCATGGCTTGAGGTACAAAAGTTACTAATACAATATCCGTGTACTACACATGTGTTGAGTTAAATATTATAAAAGTTATTGTTATCATCTATAGTAAAAACATTTAAAAAAAAATAACAACAATTACTAAATTTTTATTTTGCTCATTTATATATTTGACCGAGAAACTTACAGCTGCTAAGCCAGCGACCATAATGCAGAATCCAGGAAATTAAGTGAAATGGTGCATTGTCTATGGAAACAATGCTATAGAAAGAAAGCATGAGTTAAAAAGTTATTTATGTCTATACAAAACCTAATTCCAAAGCAAAAAATTAATATATAAACAACATCAAACAACACTTCGAAACATAAATTTTTGTCATGTCAGCATCCGAAGCGTGTGAACCTGCCACATAGACTCAACACGTTTTGAATTAATATATAAGAAGGGATGAGAACTGCAATGAGACATATGCATATGGATTTGAATAATTTGATTCCATTTTGCTTGAAATATAGGATATTTAACTTTATAAGTTATAAGATATTTTTTTTTTTCTTTTGTTCTCATTTTCAAAATGAATCATTCATTTCACTTAGCACTTTAAAACAATTTTATAACTTTGGCAATTTAAGGTATGATTTTCTATGTTTTTGCAAAATAAGGCTCTGGCCAATAAATGGGAATTACAAAACAAATAAAAAGGAACAATAAAACCAAAATCTATCACAACTTCTTGTTATAACAATGATAACCTTAAAACAATGATAACCTTATTTATTGTAAACTCAAATAAGGAGATGTGTGAGATTCTAAGCCCCAAATGTCCAAAGTGCCCTTGACAAAATCATAGTGTGCTCCTTTGAGTGAAAGGGTATTATTGACCACAGCTTCCCTCACAAATGGATAGCTCAATAGGTTCCCTAGCGATACATTCACAGCTTCCTATGACCAAAAACAATGAGATTTAAATTAGATGGGTCGATCAGACTAACCGTTAAGCTGTCTTATACAAAAATTTATAAATTTTATTTAACGAATAGAATTTTAATTAAATATTAAAAATAAACCGATCCGGCTTCACCTTCTCGAGCTGCCGGCATTGCTCGTCGAAATCTACTTTGCTGCATTCATTTTGCACCTTGGCCCTTGCAGCTTTGCATATTTTGACCCAAGCTTCTATAAAATCACTAATATTTTTTCAAGTAGATAGGGAATTAATTGTCAACCTTTGATTTAACTATATATACACAATGAAATAATATGATACTATATTACTCATATAAAAGAAAAAAAAAATACCCTAAGTTTTGAGATAATTACGTTGACAGTATTAAAATATAATACCACCTGTGAATTGTCGAAATTATGCCTAATTTATAAACGTAGCGTGCTTCTCTTATTACCAATTGGTTTTGAGATGAAACACTACTATGATGCACCTTAACTCACTCTGTTATGGTACGCTTCACATGCGTGGGACAGCACCCGTTTGTCCCTGATTCTTACAGAGAGCAAGACTGTTTTCACTTTTTAGTCAATTTTATGGTCAGTTAATCATACTTTTTCACTAGTATGTTTAATTTTAATAATTAGACAACTATACTTTTTTCAACAGATATACTTACTTCTATAAACATATCTCTAAAAATAATCACCCCAAATAAAAAGGATTTGGTTCTATTTGTTACAAAATTAGAATAAATCATGTGTGTATATATATAGGAATGAATAAAATTAGAATAGATCATGTGGTTGCCCATTTTGCTTTTGTTCGCCGGCTTCCGGTTGTCCGAACTCATTTTTTATATATATTTACATTTACTGATCCAAAAAATAAAATAAAAAAATATAATCACACAAATACCTCTTATTAGTGACATTATCAGTAATGGACATGAGCCCCTTTATACCTCCACAACAGCTGTGGCCAATGACCAATATGTTCTTCACCTATCATTAAATATCAAATATGTCAATGCATGAAGAAAGAGAAGCTGATTAATTAATGATTTAATAACATTAATCTAAAGTGATGAAATATATAAATGAAATTTTCTGAGTCCATTAGTAGGACTAAATTTCATAGTATCAATTATATATATATATTTGGGTGAATGCCATGAAATCCCATGAGTATATGTATTAAAAAAATTTGAAAAAAAAAAAATGAGACAAATGTATAACAATGTATTTTTGTTCAAAAAATGTGTTATCTGAATGGAAATCTACGAGCAGAGTTGAATAAACGAGTCTACTCGGCTCGAGTTTGATTCTTTTAACTTCGTGAAAGCTCGGTTCAACAACTAAATACCTAAATAACAGTATGCTCTACTATATATCAACCGACGTGTCTAACAATAGTATCTAATATACTCATGATATAATCACCTTTAGATGTAGCACCGCATATTCAATTGCAGCTCCTGTCCCCGAATGTTTTGTCTACATTAAAAATATTTTAAAAAAAATGGTTAAAGCCTAAAATTAAACATGTCCATGGGCCGAACCGACCCATAACCGACACGGTCAGGCCTATTGACCGCTGGCCTTAAACCGGCTCGAAACCGAAATTTAGCCATGCATGACTTAGCTAAAATGATGTAGGGAAGCGTACGAGTGAGACGATAAATTGAGAACAGTCTCAAAATACCAAGAACAATATCAATTTTTATTCATTAATTAACCATCTATCAAAGTCACGAGATTGAACAATATATAATAATTCTAATCTTAGTCTCCTAAACTTGTCCAACAAGCTAGATAATTATTTACTTGTCCACAAGCAAGTAATTATTCTCTTACCAATCTATATATATATATAAAAAGAATTAACATTTTTTAAAAATAGTAGGTCAAATCTCAATTAGCATTAATTACATTCCATACTTAGTAACTTTTTGTTTTTTAAAAAAAATCAGCATTAAACACTACCTTAAAATTATGGTATTTGTTACTTTTCATTCAAAAAATCGTGCTACCTTAAAGAAACAATATTACATACCATAAATTTTTGACTAACTAAAGTGTTTTGTTTGGAAACTATTATATTTTAATTAAAATTAATTACGGTTGATTTAATCTTCAAATTGTACAACAATTTTATTTTTTTAATGTACACCCTAAATTTTTATATTTTGTGGATTTAATTTAGGTAAATTTCGACTGATGCAAAAGTCAATTTTCTTTCTCTATTTTTATTAAAAAAAATGAATAAAATAAAATCAAGAATTTCGAATTAGGCAAAATATTATCACATATATCATTTACTAATTGCAACAAATCAATTATTTATTATAAAAATCGGATTGCATAGTCGGCATGACAATTTTGTAAAAGTCAAAATTCTTTTATTTTTTTATTAAAAAAAATCTGTTTCCCATACAATCGAGAATTTTGAATTAAACAAAACACTATAACATGTATCTTTACCTAATTGTAGCAGATCATGCTTATAAAAAAAATTCGGATTACATAATAATCGGGCCAAATTTCAAATTAAAATTTAAAAATCTATTATCATTTGATTACTACTTTCTTTAATTCGAACTTTTTTTAAACATAAAACAAAGTCATATAATATTAATTTGAAATTCAAGATGAAATCAGATTGTAACATCCTAAAAATTTGGGTTTTGTTTAATTATGTAGAATACAAATTTGAAATTGATTGAATACACTTACAAAATAAATAATGATTTCATACACTTACAAAATATAGTATATATTCTGCTAAATAATTTAATCGATTTATTTAAGACTATCTACAATCTTAATATAATTTGTGTACAATGATGTGTTTAATAATATATAACGTTACATTGTGTTTCA